TTCCAGCCGTCCTTGCGTTTTTAGCCGATAACTTCGGAAGCTGGATTAAACTGGATGTATTTGTAAGAGTAATATATTTGTCTGAAAGCGTAATCAACTTCAATATTTACCAAATATAGTCATTGCTTCGGTGTTTGAAACTGGCCATTGGAGATGTTGACAAGATAATTATCGTTCGTATTTTTATCGAAACTTGAGTATGATTTTCTAAATTCTCAAAACGCTTGTCTGGAATTAAATATTAGAATGCTTATATTTCGGATAATTTAAATATGTTTTAATGATTTCGACATTTCTATTTATTTCACGTCCGTATAATCGAAGTCTGGAAAATCGAGGCACCTATGATCGAGGAAGTACTCTGCATCGTCCATCACATGCCTGCTCTGTAAACGTTGAAATCAAAGGAGTAACTCACCGTCAGGATAAAGAGAACACCACAGGATTAATCTGATATGATTAAGAAAGAACGAGAAAGCAAATCATTGCGAACTATTCCCAGTATAATCCCTAATTATACTTCCTATAATTTACTTGACAGCCCCTAGCATCGCTTGTCAAGATTCATCTCATTAAAAACTAATTGATATTAACTCCCGGCTACAAGAAAATATTGCCAGCATTAAGAGAAAAATCTTCCTGTGATGCACGATCTACCTCTTCAGTGAAAAAAGATAAAGAAAAGCAAAACCCAGCTGTGGTTACTTTCCTTGACACCCACCACTCACTAAATGCCAAAAGGAAAGCAACTTTTTCAGATGTCAAACCCTAAGCTAAAAAGGTTAATAAAATCAACTCACCTGAGCCAACAGAAATCTAAGTTATCTAAAACAAAACTTATCGCTTAATCATTTTGACGATCATTTGAATTAGTTCAAGATAAAGCGCGTATGTTTACCTATGAATAAAAAAAAGATAAAAGAAAATAACGTGACTCAGCACAAATTTAAATTTAAAAAAAATGGCGGGCGGGAATTAACCAAAAGTTCTCATAAAACTTTAAAAACTGGAAATTTACAAACATTTAAGTAACGAAAGACGTCTTCCAAAATCTAATTAAAGTATTAAGAAACAAGAAAGTTTTGTTACAAAACAAAGAAAAGAATGCTGAACTGTTATGTGATATCATTCTGTTTATATGACAGTAATGCAGTAAGATTTTCTCACAGATGAAGAGGATACTTCAGATAGCAGAATGTCAAACATAATCATTGCTTCAAGATGCTGAGAATACCATGGACTGGCCATGTGAGCAACGAAGAAGTCTGAAAGAAAATGGAAGCAAAAAGGACACTTGTACTTAGAATCAGATTGATTGCTGTTTTGTTTTACGGCTTATCAGAAAAAAGATAACTGAAATTTTGCTGACACATTGTAAAGAAAGAGGGCTTGGAGAATTTGACGCTCACATGGCATAATGAAAGCAAAGAGGATCTGGGAGAAACCTCGAGTAACATATCTAGTGTATTTGTATAAATGGATGGTAGAAAAGCGTCTGGGAAGGATAGTAAGGAGACAAACACTACTTAGAGATACAATGGCTGGGAAATTGGCGAGAGCCATGATCACCCACGTCCTGAAGAAACATGACACATAAAAGAAGTAGAATTTAGAAAGATGATATTAATAAGGAGAAAGAAAGTTTTTCATTATATATATATCAAAGTATATATATATATATATATATATATATATATAAGAAAAAACAGTCAGATTTATAATCTACAGTTCTTTAGCATCTATATTTATAGTATTATTTAAAAAAATTATTTAGCATTAATATTTATAGTATTATTTAAAAATATATATTCATCGCGACACAGAAATTACCAGTTTCGGAAGTAAAAGCTAGTTTTTAATTCCGAAACATGGTAATTTCTGTGTCGCGATGAATACATATTTTAAATAATATACACACACACACACACACACACACACACACACACACACACACACACACACACACGACCGTCTTCAGGTAAAAGCGGAGATTTCCACATATTATTAAAAATAATTAATTTTTCCTTATGTTCAATGTTAAATATTCTCGATATGAGACATTCTCTGTTTGTGTGTTGGCAATCCGAATGTGGAAATCTCCGGTTTTACCTGAAGACGGTCGCGAGACCAGAAACACGTGTCGTAAAATTATGTAAAACAAAACATAATATTTTTTCTAAATAAATCCACATTACAACCAAAAACGTTTGCGGCACCTCTCTTCTCTTCTTTTTTAATATACATACTTTTCTCTCGTTGGAACCACTACAACATATTTCTTTTATATATATATATATATATATATATATATATATATATATATATATATATATATATATATATATGATAATTTTTTATGTATACTTCAACACACATTCCTGGTTAGATCATTTACATTGGGACGCGTGTTTTGCAAAAAAATTCATTGCTACAATGAATAAATGTAAATTTTTAAATAATTATAACAGAGCGCGTTCATGCGTATTCTTAAAAATCAACCTTAAAAAAACCTTAGCTAAAGATTTAAAAGCAATGTTAATGCCACATTTAAGTTAATATCACAAATAGAAACACGTTAGTTGGACAAAGAAGTACATGAAAATTGATTTGTCAACAGTAATTTTTAATGATGAATATAAAACCATATTAGATGAACCGCATGACCGGCTAGAGGTTGCGTCTTTTATGGAGCAACATGATTTTGTAAACAAAAATAGAATAATGTTTGAGGTTGATATTGTAGGCAGTAAAATTATAAGTGCCTTTAAATTTAATCATGTTAATAGTGATATTAGCCGTTTCTTTATAAGGAAACATTCAGCATTCATTGACGGAACAGCCATTGCTACTGCCGGTAGATACTTATAAAATCTTTCTCTTAAAAAACTTTTTCAAGAGAATAATTTTATCAATTCCACTAACTGTAATAGCTCTTTCCATTGCCGCAATCATGAAATTTTGGATTTCCAAGTTTTCATTACAGTGATTGTTTCGACGATTTTTACATTTTTTGCGACAAATTTTTTGTACGTTGATATTTTTTATAACTTGGAAATAAATTTGGGAATAATTGAAATTAATTGCAATATCTAGCGAAAGTCGCCTATGAAATAAAAATAATTGTTTGTATGGAAAGTAAGGACCTATGTACATCAAATTGTCTTTAAATTAAATGGCGACAGAAGAATTATCATTGAAGTTTTTAAAGGTTAGCTTGAATATTAATGCATTACTTAAATGCAGCAATCAATTTTGAGTTCTTCTGTAGTTTATTGTCGCCTATCGCATATGACGGCATTATGTCTCGCAAAATATCTCCACCAACAGAGGATCAGATTGCAATCAAAAGTGCCAAGTCTGCAGCGACGAAAAGAAAGTCTTGTGCAAATAAAAAGGCAAGATCAAACGGCAGCCAGGAGAGCTCCTAGTGATGAGAATATGCAAAGACTTGGGAACTCTCAAACTCCTGAACAAGCCGAAGGTCCAATCAAGAGCTCTCCGCAGGAGCTAGCTTAATTGCATTGCTTTTAAGCTAATATATATATATATATATATATATATATATATATATATATATATATATATATATATATATATGGAGGTGAGAGATTTGTTTGAAAAGTATCTAGCCAATTAATATTAACCACTAAAATAGCTTATCAATAAAAGTTAAAATAGTGTTATCCTTGAAACTCCAGACAGTTATCCTAGAATTCATTCTACCATTCAAAATTAAATAAGTATAAATAAAGACTGAGTTGAGACTAGTTGTAATTTAAACGAATTTTAACATTTTTGGTTCTATTTATTTATATATTCATTTATATTACGGTTTACCTATTCGATATTGTTTCAGTAATAATTTAGTCAGAACAGCCAATGAACTGAAATAGCGTCGCCTTGATTTATGACTCGTAGCGGATTCATAGATCATGACACTTTCAATGCATCTTCGTCTGAATAAATTATATTTTATTATTATTATTAAAGCGCCATTTTCAGGTTGAAATTGTGGTCACGAAGTTTTCGCTGACATAGAAGTACATTTTGAGAGCCTTTTGCGTTCCTATCTAGCGTTCGTGTGCTTTATGCAAATCATGTTTAGTCTTGCTAATGTAGATTTTGTTAAATAATCTTTTTTATAATGCTTATTCATCGACGAAACTTACAAATTATTTTATATATTTAATATTCTGTCGGATTCTCGTCCAAAACTTTATTCATAAACGTATATAAAAAGCCGTATCTTGCAGAGGAATTTCATGACTATAAAATATATTCTTTCGTTGTATCTGTACAGCAATTCAATTTTGATTTCTTAACTTCAGTGCACTCCGACCTATGATTATTAAAAATCAACTGTTCCAGCGATAAATAAATAAAACCATGACATCACAATACAAGTAAATGATACACAGTATATAAAGAAGTGAAGCAACTCAAGGATAGTATTAACTTCAATGTGTTTAATGTACAGAAAATGATGTATGCACAATAGGTAAAAAGAAAGCTTGCAAATATAATTTATATTTGCGGACTTAACTGTTAGATCAGTGTCCAAGTGTTCTGTATTCCATTAACGTCGAAAAGGACGGCTAAAATAAACTTGTGGTCACTACGGCTGTTAGCTGCAAAAGAGGAAGATTTCAGGCTCGAGTTTACTGCGTGACCCCAAGCAAGGATCTTGATTGGACAGCAGTTAGCCAATCAGAGTCACAGATTAGTAAGAGTTTCATGTTCAATGCTGATTTTTGAATGGTAAAGGGTTAGCTCCCTTTACTATACCTTTCAAATTCTTATAAGTAATTATATGCATAATAAAATCTAATGTCATTTTTTGTCTACTTTTCTTTGTAGGCCGTACACACGATTATTCATACAGCATGTGGAAACTCGATACATTTGCCAGTCCGGCAGTGAAAAGTTTTGCTGAAGAGGGTTATGCTGCAGACTTCGATACTGAAACCCAAGGAGAAAATGGAATCTTCGACATGTTTACAATGCCTGCCATCTACAAAGGAGTTGGCCGCTCCAAGGGAAATATTTTCTTGGACGGAATGCATCCGCTGGTAAGGAAATCATTTGAATCTTATTCGTACATTTTGTTTTTATATCACAATCATGGTCGTCATCACAATTATTATTATTATTAATAATAATAATAATAATAATAATAATAATAATGTAATTGGGCGCATGCTCGAGTAATTACAATGTTCGCTTTCCGACCATGAAACTCGGTTTCAAATCTCACACTGGTCGATTTGTCAGGTGACTTCCTATGGAATCGAATCCGGCGTATGGTACATTTGGAAAGTACCTGATAACGTGTTCACAAGCCTTGTTCGGGAGCCGTTGATAGTTGTGCTAACACAAAATCACAAGTCATCTTGACCGAGGGGTTGAGTGTCCTGGTGATCCTGCCAGATTATGCGCTCTCTCCTAGAAACGCTAGGTAATGTCCACTCAGTATGGTTTCAGTATAAACTCCATCCGCTGAACAACTACAAACGTGTCTATGCAGTAGTCTGCAACAGGAACTGACTGGCTACACCAGCAGTAGCCGGCCATTATTTAGTGAGAGACCAGTACGCCAACAAAGTTACACTGGGCTACAAAAATACAAAGCCTAATATACACATCATGACACCCAGTCGAATAAGAGTTTACCGGGCAAATGTACCACGGTGAAATGTCTTCTTTTTGTTTTTCATCCTATTTTTTATTCAAATTGTATTTACATTCTGCAACTATTGAGTAAGTATCATAGATCAAAAATAAAAGTAATTAAAAATAATATAAGATGGCTGGATTTGAACTACACGGCCCCTATATTTGGAAGCCAGTATGATATTGATAGCAATTTACCGATTAGGCTACAGAAGCCAATCAGTCTACATCGTTATCAAATTTAATATAATAATGGTAATGGTAATAATAGTTGTTTCCTTATGTGGAAACATTTGGGATTCATTGACCAAGCAACCAGTGATAAGGTCGATTGAAATCTATAAAATCTTTCTATTAAAACAATTTTTCAGGAAAATAGATTTCTCAAGTTCACTATTATTGCTCAGTCCCAGTAATGATGGTGGCTTCCTTCCTAAGAAGTGTGGATTATCAACATCTTAATTGTGTCATTATTTTCTCTTCGACTTACATGTGATATCCATTTTAGTTGTCCTCAAATGATGTGATTTCTGTTGTTTGGTACAGTTCTATGTTTGTGATTCTGTTGCACCAGTTATTTTCCTATCAGTTTGAATTGGCTTATCTCAGAGGATAGTTATATCGTTATTTTAGATAACTGTTTCTGGTTGGTGCTCATACCATTTCTCAGTGGTTTCGATATTGTGCTTCTTGCATATCTTTCAGTGCACATATGTCTCTACCTTGCTATGGTATATTCATTTTTTGCTCGTTCCGGGCATCCTGAGATAATATGGTCGACAATTTCATCATATTTTCCGCAGATCTTGCATTTTGTGTTAGTTCCATCCTTGATTATGTGACAGTCATAGGATCTGGCTGCGAGGCTTTGGTCATGAGCTGCAATAAGTAGGCTTTCTGTCTGTTTAACCTGTTGGTTCACATCTGCTTCTTTCGTTCTTTTGAAGTATTTGCTATGAAACGCCTTGTCCTCCCAGTTTTTCTTTTTTTTTTTTTTTTGTAATTTCATTTGGCCATGTTGTTTTGCTTTCTGTTTTACTCGTTTGGCGTAGATGGTATTCGCTTCGTTTTTTGTTGGTAGGGTTTCGGGTACATTAAGCTGTTTCTTGAAGAGTGAAGCTTCTTTGTTGAGGGGGTGGATTTTCTGTTTTACTATTTTATTTGGTTTTTGTGGGGTATGCTTCCAATCCGATTGTTGTACTTTTGTAGAGTTAGTTCAAGTTTTTTCGGTAAGTATAGCCTACCAACATCTGATTTCGGCTGGTACATCCTCATTTGGTCTTGGCACCGAATCTTTTAATGTCATTCAACTCCCATTTAATAATGCCGAAGCTGTATGTTACAACGCGTATATTTAAGGTTTTGATAGCTTCATTTTATTGGCCCAATTAAGTTCCCTTTCTAGTATCAGATGCACTCTCCTATAATATCCTCTTCGGATCTTTTTCTTCATTATTATTATTATTATTATTATTATTATTATTTTCTCTTCATACACAATTTATTTTTTATTTTATTTTTTTTTGTTTTGTTTTCAACCGGAGATCTTGCATTATTGGTGTTCTCCATCAGGTCGTACAATCTGAAACAGATAGCACCTTCCTCAAAATATTTACAGTGCCAAAGCAAAATAGATTTCCGAAGCGAAAGCATACGAAGCGTTGTTCCGATTTTTTAAATGTAGGTCTTTAGGTTCGGTGCTATAGACCCCAACGCCTAAATGATAACTGGGACAGTAGAGACCTGAACATCCCACAATCTAGCAACCTCACTCACTAAGGTCAGTGCACTCTTTAAGCTTTGGTTATTATTATTATTATTATTATTATTAGTAGTAGTAGTAGTAGTAGTAGTAGTAGTAGTATTGAGCGTGATTTTTCTCTCATTTTTATGCTTTATCCAATACAAGGCACAAGGGTCACTCAAGGTAGAGCATTACTGAGTGATATTCTAAGGGAAGGGGAAATAAGAGGGTATTATCAGGACGAATAGAATATATATCAGTTGATGTTAGACGTAAAGAGACGAAGCATTCTCTCGGGAGTTAGTTCCGAAAAGCAATATTTCTGAGGAAATAAATAAAGTGAATAGCGATGGTTTGCCACAATGAAGACGTCATAGCGGTTCTAAATGTGAAGGTCAGAGCAGGTGGTACTAAAGAGTGTAACTCGTCCAAACATTTACTATATTAATAGCGATATAGTGGGAAAAGGATGGCGACTTTTTGTCTGTGGAATAAAGATGGAGAATTATTCATCACCCACAAGGCCGCTCTGAAGTCATAACTGTAACTTCTGAGCACCTGCTTATAGTATTCACATAATTTTATAATTATTATATCCTCTTCACACCAGTAATCTGGAAATACGATGGAAGTTGTAATGATAGCAATTTTGCAATAATCTCTATGTTCTTGCCGATTCTACAGTAGTTGGAATAGTCTCAATTGTTCCATTGATCCTAATCCTTCCAATATTATAACATGTTTCTTTGGAACAGAATCCACTAATTTACCATTTGTCTGTGCATCGACTACTGCTGCTATATCTGGTCTGGTGTTCCTGCTGAATCTTGAGATTCTTGACAAAATCCAAAGAAGGGTCTGTAATGTAATCGATCCTGATCTGGCATCTCGACTTCACTCATTTTCTCACCGACGTGCCGTGGCTTCCCTCTGTCTTTTCTACAAATATTTTCATGGCAAATACTCTGACGAGCTTTTTTTCCCCTGGTGCCCTGACTACATGAATTTAAGCATGCTACTAGATTGGCATCTAGGTCCCACCCGTTTACTGTTAAAATAGCTAAACGTAACCGTAATTTCTACTCCAACAGTTTCTTTTCTCGTACTTCCTGCCTCTGAAACTCACTTCCGTTTACTTGCTTCCCTGATAGCTACAATCTTCAAAAATTTAAATGCAACGTCAATCCTCATCTTCTATCTTCGTTCATTGTCCTTTCCTCAATCCTCCCTATTCTTTTTCACTCTCATTCCTTGTAAAACCATACGTACTAGTGGTATTCCCGCCTTTCCTAGGGCAGGGGGGAATTATAAAAGAAAAAAACTTTTCTCCCTCTATCGGTATTTCGTAATTTTCAAGTTATCAAGCACGGTCTTGATATCTATCTATCTATCTATCTATCTATCTCTATCTATCTATCTATCAATATCCTTAAACGTCTTTCCTATGTCGTCCATCAAAAGTCTTCCATTTATTTGCGATAACCAAATCCAGTCTCTTTTTCTTTTTTTTACTTTTTTTAATCGGTTTATTCTAAGAAAGAAGATAATGCCATTGAGACGCAAGGAGCTACTGAAAATGAAAGAGAATGGGAAGATTTTAGAAGGAACCGGAAATTCAGTCCTAAACAGGAAACAAAAGATATAACTCTACTCCTGTTCAAAAGACTCGGGGGAGTGTGAAATGGATGATAGGTGAATCTATCTACTCCTATTGAAAAAAAAAACATAAAATCTAAACAGTAAATCACATTTTATAGTTTAGACGCATGCGTAAGAAGTATAGAGTTGAAGTAGACTTTAGAAGGAACCGGAAGCCCAATCCTAAACAGGAAACAGGGGATAAACCTGTACTCCTGTTTAAAAGACCGTTGTGGAGTATGAAGTGAACGATAGGCGAACCAATCCAATTTGATTTGATTAGAAGATTCTGTTTAAATCTTAAACGACGAATGTATTTCACTCATTTTATTTTCAGAGAAAGAATTCTTCCCATGCCATTTCTTTCTATGCTCAAATTCAAATCGCTTACCCCGGCCTTTTTCAGGGGTCAGGCGCCTTTGGTAACGTTCTTGAAATTTCAAACAGAACCCATCATTCTATCCATGCGAGTGGAGTCTTCTCATTCCGCTATCCATACTAAGGGAGATAACTCTTATTTTCTGTTCGCTCGTATTTTTCTTAATTCAATTTCTTGTGGTGCTGCTTCTGCTCATTTTTGACCTGGCGTCTCGGCTTCAGTCGCTTTCACTCGCTACATTGCTTAAATGCTTCCACTTATTTTCAATAGCTCCTTTCTTCCATCGCACCGAACAGATGTTTGTTACTCTGGAATGTTTGGGAATTACTGGTTTAATTGTACAGGGCGCAACAGAAATACCTTCTACATATACCTCCAGGAATACTTCACACATAATGGTAAGCCATTAGCTAAATGAAGATATCATTTCCACTAATGTTTTACCATTATGTTGTAAGTATTTCTGCCACACACTGTAGATTGTCTTCTCTGTGTGTGTGTGTGTGTGTGTGTGTGTGTGTGTGTGTGCGTGTGCGTGTGCGTGTGTGTGTGTGTGTGTGTGTGTGTGTGTGTGTGTGAGCGCGCGAGAAAGAAAAAGGGAATGTAAAAATAAACGATATATGCAAACGTATGAAAACATTTGACAAAATTTTAATAATAATTCCAGGACGGTTACGACCATTCATTTTTATATCTGCTCCAATCTTTGATCGAAAAGAAATGAAAGCAGAACAAACTATAAAGTTCAAATCAGTTCAAATTAAAACAAATATTAGCAAATTAAAACTGTCATTATTTATTCTTGACAAGTTTTTTTTTTCTTTTTCCTTTTCATACATGAATTTTGCAATCGAAATGATTGAGTGATTGACTGATTTTTTCTTTTTTTACAGCTTATCAACCTATTGCAGACTATTTAAAGTCAGAATATAATTTTAGAAACTTTTTAGATAATAATGGTTTAGTGATACAAGTCTTACTAATTAACCCATAGCTGGGAGGAGAAAAATGGATTCATACCTTTCCCAAGAGTATTTGCGCGTAAGTGAATATAATGGACCCAACGAGAATTGGATCTCGGCTCTCCGATTAACAATTCTGAACCATTATCCAAGCAATCGAAATAAGAAGAAAAGAGAAATATATAAAAATTCGTCATGAAAATTAAATTTAAAACAATCGGACAATTTAAATTCAGGAAACAAACAAACAGAAAAGAGAAATTTTCAAATTTATTTATTGTGTAAACTTTACTTGGTACAATATAATTCCAAGCAAAAGAAAAATATCTTTTTAACTTACAAAATATTTAGTATGATTTTAATTAAATCAAACGTGGATAAACTATCTTCACATTAATGTGCTTGTAAAATCTCTGGCTATATAATCGCAACATCGTAAAAGAAAGAACGCAACGTCTTATAGGAGAAAATTACCAATTCTTTTCAAAGAAATAATTATGGTGTTTAGAATCCTTAGTTTGGTTCGGCACACATACAAAAGAAGCAACCAGTGAGAAGCAAATTTACTACTAATATTAAACCATATTATATTTGTTTATTGATGTCAGTGAAATTATGAATGTAAAGAAAAGCAGACGAACATTTATCGCATTGCATTGAAGCTTTATTCAATGGTTATTCAAATTATTGTCTTCCGCCTAAATTTCTGAATTTTTATTTAGTATTGATTTACTTTTTTCCTCAATAGTAATAGATAAATTTGCTTTATCGTCCAGTTTACACTCCTCCCCTGTTTTTTTTTTTTTTTTAACAAGACTAGAGGCTTAGCGCTTGTTTCCTGTTTAGGATTAGGTTTCCAATTGCTTCTAAAGTCTACTTCAACTCTTTACTTCTAACGTCTCCGTGCAAAACACTGAAATCTTATTTACCATCGGCGTTTTATTTCTTTTCACAATAAGAGTAGATAGGTTCGCCTATCGCCCGGTTCACACTCCCCACTGTGTTTTGAGCAGTAGACGTGCCTTCTTTGATTCCTGTTTAGAATTGGATTTCCTGTTCATTCTAAAGCCTTTTCCTTATTTTTCACTTCCGGTAGTCCCTTGTGACTTTGTGGCATTATCTCCTTGCTGTAACCCTCAACCTCGAGTGGAACTTGGGCCTTGTACAGGGTGATCATTATTGTCAATGAAATTTGACTACTGCCTATATTTGAGGTTCGACCATTATTTTTATAGTCGTACTTGGAGGGGGAGACAACTACCGTTTCTTTCATCACAGTAGCCAAATATACCTCGCAACCAAGTTGAGTAACGAAACGGGGTGGCTTCAAAAAGTAAAATTCTATAAATATTATCAAAGTTGATTAAAATCCATTTTTTTCTGAAACTGTTGAAAGGTGGCCTAGTGAGGAAAATGAAGAATAACGAGAATTTTTATGGTGGTTTTTTTTTTTTTTTTTTCGGGATGTCTATAGGGTATATTTATTGTTATTACTTATTACGTATATTTTATGTTCACACCAGAGATGTTGAGGAGTGAGTAACAGCAAGTATTTTTTTTTAAATATCCAGTGTTTCCCTCTACCAACTATACCGACCACTGTGGTCTGGTTATTCTTTATTTGAAAATTTATTATGGTTATGTACCCGTTGAATTTTCACATATGTTTGCAAGATGCTGCAAGAGCGTCCCAAATGTACCAGTAAAAGCATTGCTTTTATGTTCGAAAATTGTTGGCAATTCTCTTCTAACTTTTAATTTTCATTCAATTTTACGCGGTGTTTTCCTGGAACAGTAAAATCTACCAAAGAAAACCTCTTTTTCTTTGTCTTTAAATCATCTGGCTTTTGTGATCTACTTCAAAGTTCCAGCGATTTTTTTTTATTATATCTTACCATACTTTCAGGTCGCACACACGCATTTGAACGCAGCTAGATTTTGGCATGGAATATTCAGGAAAAAAAATGAACGCATCACAACCAAAAAATCAAAATTATAACCTTACCTTTATGTGACGGTCTCATTAACGATGAAGAAACACTTACAGTATTAGTACAAATTATATTGCTAGTACTAATTTTAATAAAAGTGAGGTAAGGTTTCATCACCAGGACATTTTTTGGAAAAGAATTTTAGTATATTTCATCATGCACTAATTGAAAATTGTTTTAGTTGTTTTTCATAGAATAACATCTGCACATACAGTAAATTCATAATAGCTACAAAGAAATCTACTGGTATCAGCGAATACTGGTACATATGGTATTGGCATACAAACAAAAATATGGTACTTATTGGTAAATGAAGTCCCATACCATACATGCAAAAAAAGCAAATTCCAATACCTATAGTGATTTTCCAAGCATATCTTAGATGTGGCACAAGGCCGAAAGTATGAGGCACCCAGCGAGGATCGAACTCACTAGTAACTGTTTTGGCGAGATAAGCTTGCTAACCATTTCACCACGCCGAGGTTCCCAATTCTAATACCTAGATCTCAACAAAAACATATAAAAAGCAAGCAGTAATATACTAATCAAAACAAAACAAAATCTGCTATTTCTACAAAACAAACAGCAAAATATCGTGCAATTCCATAAATTTCTTAATTTTCACTTCCAGGAGTCCTAGTTTCAGGAATAAGCTCTATGCGTGCAATGATTGAGGGTGAACCCCACAATATTTCATGGGCTTCATGTCCCACTCATACATGATACTCTTGTATTGGGTGTGGGTTGGTTTTTTTTTTTAAATCGGCGTCCGTTATTTTTTTTTTAAATCGGCCAGCAAATACGGAAAATAGTTTGTGTAACAGTTGCGAAACTGAGGAGTTAAACAGTCATAGTTTTTCTCCTAGCGCGGGAAATAAGTAATTTATTGTTTCAAATCCATATTTTGAAATGGAAGTAGCCATGAGTTCAGATCGCAAGATACGAAAATCCGAAGACTTGTCTCTATATATCGAGTTCAAATTCTAAATATATATTGTAATAAAAACATTTTTATTTTTTAGAGACCTTTTCTCTAAGGTATCAGTGAACACTGGTAGATATGGTAATGGACAAAAAACAGAAATCTAATACGTGTGGGTAATTGAAATCCATACCATATATGCAGAAAAGCACATTCCAATATCTATATATCAACAAAAACACACAAAACAAGCAGTTATATACCAATCAAAACAAAACAAAATCTGGTATTCCTACAAAAACAAGCAGCAAAATATTGTGCAATTCCATAGATTTCTTAATTTCTTTTCCTTGTGTGGATTTTTCAGGTATATTTTTATTGATATCATGATATATATATATAATACAATATAATATATAATATAAAAGGCTCAAAAACTAATATTCCATGGTTATAATTTATTACATTGGATTCGTAATCACGATCCAAATCATCAGACCTACAAATTCAAAAAGCAATATGAAACAACTCTATCAAACTGTCACTATCGATCTGTGAGATGTGATATGGAACTGTCTCTATCGATCTGTGAGGTATCTTACAGTTTCTACCGCTCCATGAGTTACTGTCAGTATCAACCTATAAGGTACTATTGCTGTTTCATCAACCACTGAGATATCTTACTGTCTCTGTTAATCAGAGTTGCCCTTACTGTTTGTATCAACCAATCAGATGTTTTACTATTTCTATCAATCAACTGTTTCTATTTCAATCAAGCTATCAGATACACTGTTTCTCTCAAACCATGGGATATCTTACTAATAATGTTGTATCAACCGCTAATATTTCTATCAACTATAAGATACATATAATATTTGTTAGACACTCTGTTTCTGTCAAACATTTAGATGCACGTACTTCTATTTCCTATGTGCTTATGGCCATATCACGTTGAAAGACCGGTTCTCGTACGCAGCACCGAAGTTAAGCAACGTCGTGCCTGATCAGTACCTAGATGAGTGACCACTTGCTAACGGACATATCACGTTGAAACACCGGTTCTCGTACGATCACCGAAGTTAAGCAACGTCGAGCCTGATCAGTACCTAGATGAGTGACCACTTGCTAACGGACATATTACGTTAAAACACCGGTTCTCGTACGATCACCGAAGTTAAGCAACGTCGAGCCTGATCAGTACCTAGATGAGTGACCACTTGCTAACGGACATATCACGTTGAAACACCGGTTCTCGTACGATCACCGAAGTTAAACAACGTCGAGCCTGATCAGTACCTAGATGAGTGACCACTTGCTAACGGACATATCACGTTGAAACACCGGTTCTCGTACGATCACCGAAGTTAAGCAACGTCGAGTCTGGTCAGTACCTAGATGCCAGACGACTTGGGAATATCCGACGCAGTAAGATTGGATGTGCGGGTGGTGTAATGGATAACTGCTCGGAATTGGAAATCGGAGAGCCGAGTTTCAATTCCAGTCAGGTTCATTATATTCACTTACATGCAAATACCCTTGGGAAAAGTATAAATCCACCTCTTCCCCCGCCAGCTATGAGTTAAATAGTAAGCCTTGTATCAGTAAATCATTACTATCTACAAAAAATTCTTACAATCTAAAAATAGCTTATGGCTTGAAATAACATGTAAAAGGTTGATTTGCTGTAAAAAAAGAAATCAATTAATGTATTTCTGGTGTAAGTTGGCACATGAACATCAGGCAGGTGAAATTTCCGGAGCACATAACGATGAAAGAAAGCTTGGAGAATTTGACACTCACAAGACATATTGATGGCAAGAGGGAAACGGCGAGTAACGTTCCTAATAATCTTGTGTGAATAGACAGCAGTAGAGAGATAGTAAAAAACAAACTTGCAGCTAAAAAGATAGGCAGTTGTGGAGAGCCATGATCCCCCACGTCCTGGCGTGAAGAAAAGGAAGAGACAACATAAACTGATGCAATTATATTGCACAGAAAGTAAGTTTGTTTGTTTTCCTTCTATTTGTTTTTTTTTGTTGTTGTTGTTAAATGTTCACACAGTACGTGGCCCCAAGAGCCACAGAACTACAAAGGGTGGGAAGTTGTTGAGAACAAAGATAAACCCCGGCCTGAAGAGTCATTGGTACATTGAAGAAGAACAACAATTGTTTTAATAAATCTTTCGTTTCAATATTCATGTAGTTGAAAGTAAAATTTAGTCTGTTGCAGACAGGAAGAATTATTGTTGTTTTACAGCTCCTGGAATTGTTCCGCAAACAATATTTTTACAGTTCCATGTGAGTCCGGGTAAATAAAGATTACAGCGTATGTTAACAAAACCTGTTTACAGAAATGTAGTTGTCGAATATTCCGTGTGTTGCCGGAGTTAGAAAAAGAATGTGTTGTCGCTAACGTGGTCAAAGGGGTAATAAAAACTTAGCGGAGTTTTCAAAAATCGTGCCGCTGTTAATTCTAAACTAAGGGAGGTAATCGAACAAATGTTATATACGCGTCGTTTAATTTTTCATTTTTAAGTTGTTAGATATTCAGATCTTTTATTCTTTTGTTACTTCAAATCTTAAATATATAAGAAAAAATTCAGTGAAATATTCTCTGCATGGTGCGAACATACCTGTTGCCCATGACAGTAGCAAAAGCTTCTAGTCAATTAAACACTAAGTCGTGTCTTTCACTAGTATTTGTCAATACAGTCAGCCAGTTGCGTGCCATGCGTGATACATGAGGAAAGAGGGCTTGGAAAACCTGATACTCACTGGAGAGATTGAAGTCAAGAGGGACAATGAAAGGCTACGTATAACATAGTGAGCTTGTGTAAATGGATGACAGAACAAGGTTTAGGAGAAATAACAAAAAAACAAAAAATATTAAGTGCTACAAAGGACAGGAAGATGTGGAGAGCTATGACCTTCTACGTCCTGTGGGTACACGGCACATAAAGAAGAAGAAGTAGTAAACATTAGAAATTATTCAAATGTTTCTTTCATGGTTAACTCCATGTATCTTTGTACAGAGTAGGAAATTCAAGTGATTTTCTGGTTTTGCATAATAACTTCAGACTGCAGTTTTTATAATAAATCCAATGGCTTTAACAAAAGGTATTGAAACGACCAACAAATTTAACTTTGTTTTGAAGTCTAAATAAATCGTTTAAAAATTGACAAAAATTTTTCAAAGTAAATTCAAGCGATTGAGGTTTATGCGATTTGCGTGATAACTTCAAACGGACTGGATATATTACTAAGAAATAGCATCCATAATATAAAATAGTAACAGTTAATTTGCATAACAATTTTTAAATGCATATTTTAATAAATTTTTCATTTTTGTTATTTATTTTTAATTCAAATTAAATTAAATTTTATTAAAACTACCGAATACTATATCTAGGGTGCGATGGCTAAACTGTCACCATTTTAATTTCGCACATGCGTGTTGTTTGTTTTTGATTTTGTTGCGCACCGTCTGTGGGGAAAAGAGCACCATGACACAATTCAATCCACCATAAATTTGAAAACGCCATGCTGTACTGTTTAGTATTTCCTCCGGAAGTTCCAATACGAACAATTCAAAGTGTTTGGGTGTCAATCTGAGGATAGTGCAGAGGGGTCGGAAAGAGTTGGAAGAGTCTAATGGCGATTACGATGGTGTTTGGAGTGATTACTAGTGATGGCGCCTTTATGCCGCCATTCATCTTCTCACAGAGCCTCAGACTCAACACAGAGGCCTACATCAAGTGCCTTGAAGAGGAAGTGCTGCCCTGGGTCAAGAGGATGGCTTCTGGAAGACTCTATGGCAACAGGACACTGCACTAGGCCACATAAAGAGGAGAACCCAGATCACATCATACTTTACATCTGGCCACCTAACTCCCCAGACTGCAAACCCTTTGATTATTGTGTGTGGGAAGGGGCGCAGTTGAGTGAGAGACAAACAGAACTCGTTGTAACACCAAAGATGAACTGAAGGCAAGGATCATGGCAGCATTCACCAACTTAAACAATAAGACCGTCCAGAAAAGTTGCAGGAGATTCCGAAGTTGTTTGGAGGCCGTGGTTGTAGCCAATAAGGATTTTATTGAATAAATTTACTCTTTACTATTTCAAGATATTTTTGTGTAATTTTGGTAAATATATCTGTTATAACCAAATGTCAGTGTTATTTTTATTTTTACGTAATTCAGACGACAATTTATCCATCACAACCCTATACACACACACACAAACACACACACACACACACACACACACACACACACACACACATATATATATATATATATATATATATATATATCGGAATGAGAAATCGTTCGAACTCCAGTCGATTTCGCTACAATCACTTGGAAAATTTATAAATCTATCTTATCGTCCTCTCCTAGCTATAGATTAAATAGTAGGACAGTGTGGGCGCTTCAGCCCGTGTTTGAAACCAGTCCCGAAGGCCAACTCTGAATTCGGAAATAGTGGAGGGTCATTTGGAGATCTTGTCGAACACTGAGTGCACCAGTTCTCAGTATTCGGTTGTTCCGAAAAGTGTGTCTGTTTCTTTACCACGATAATCAAATCACATGTTCGGTTAGTCTGGTTGTTCACGTCTGACAACTGAACTGCAGGACCCTCATACACTGAAGACGACTGGAGAATCTATCGGGTGGCGATTAAGCTAACTCCTGCGGAGGGCTCTTGATTGGGCTTTCGGCTTGTTCAGTAGTTTGAGAGTCCCTAAGTCTTTGCATATTCTCAGCATTAGTATCTCTCCTGTCTGTCATTTGATAACGGTTTTGATTTGCACAGGAATTTCTTTTCCTTGCTGCAGCCTTGGCTCTTTTGATTGCAATCTGGTCATCCGTTGGCGGAGATTTCTTTTTGCGAGGCAACCTGCTGAACTTAAAATTGGTCGCTGCATTTAAGCATTGCATAAATATTTAAGTTTACCTTTTAAAAGTTCAACGATTAATTATTCTGCCTCCACTTAAGTTAAAGACAATTTGATGTACATAGGTCACTGATTTCCGTAAAAACAATTATTTTATTTCATGGGTGACTTTCGCTGGATTTCGCAATTAATTTTAATTATTCCCAAATTTATTTCCAAGTTATAAAAAATCGCTGACGTGGAAAAAAATTCGTCGCAAAAATCATGTAAAAAAGTCGCCGAAAACAATCGTAATAATGAAAACTTGGGAATGCAAAATTTCAGAATTTCGAGTCCGGAATGTTTTTCATTTGCTCACGGTGTCGGCCTGATTCCAGAATATGTTGAGCTACAGCCTCTAGGTGAGCTACGGCCGCTAGGTGAGCTACGGCCTCTAGGTGAGCTACGGCCTCTAGGTGAGCTACAGCCGCTAGGTGAACTACGGCCTCTAGGTGAGCTACGGCCTCTAGGACTAAAGTTGATAATGTGTGACACACTGACATTTGCATTTATTTATATAGAAGATTGTTAAAATATGTGAACCATTTATAACGAAATATTTATTATTTACAGTTTTATAACGAAATAAATATGAAAAACTTTTTTTTATTCATAAATTTATAAAAATGTCTGTGAACAAGAAAATTTAAATAAACACATAATGACGAATAACTAATTTCGAAAAAAAAAATGCATCTTCTGAACAATTCTTTCATTTTCTCTCGCCACATATTTCTTATACTCTTGTAAATATGAAATACTAGCAGTAGAGCCCGGCGTTGCCCGGGGATGTAACAGTAAGAGATAGATCAAGTATCGACCATCATAAAGACTGAAAAATAAAATTGACAAAGATTATTGTTTAAGGTTGACGGACACGCATGTCTTAATTAGCTTTTTTTTTTTCTTTTTTTTTTTTTTTTTTTTTTTTTTGTCTTTTATGAATTGGTCAAACTCAAACAAAAACATTGTTTTCAATCGTTATGAGTCTACCGATTGAATAGAATTTTATTATAAACAATTGTCTTGTAAATGGAATTTTTAAAGCATTCTGAATGTAAAAATAAAGAAAAAAAGTGTGCAAGACAATAAGAAACACTACCTGCCAAAAGAAAGTGAATTTTTATTGAAATCGGTTGAAAACTGTAGGAAATCCGATCTCATATATAAACTAACACACACACACACACACACAAACAACCAACCTGGGTTTTATAAGTATAACTCGATATGAGTTGTCCCCCTTTCATTAATGCCTCTTAATTGTGTTTTTCTAATTTTTGGCGCTGTCAGAGCCACCGCAAGGTAATTTTATGTAGTCCTGTGAAGTTTTGTTGAAATCAGTTGAAAAATATAGGAAATACGATCCCATATATAAACGTACAGACACACACACACACACACACAAAATCTGCGTTTTATAATAAGTGAGATGTCCCTTACCTCTTACTCTGCAACTCTCTATCATGAATGTACGTGGGGGGACATTACTGAAAAAAAATAATGTTATCCCAAAAGGCTAGGTAAAAAATATTAGTGTGGCAACTTTCAAGATAATCCTTTCTGTCGTTTTACTGTCGTCTATGTGCAGATATGACTCGAAATTTATTCCTCCTTTTTTTTATTGATTTGTATTGTTGTAATTGAATCTTTTCGTTGTTTTCAGTACTTTGATGTTCCAACACAGTTGTCTTTTTCTCACTGTTTCTTTCTAAAATGATTACTTTATTATTTCTTTCGTATAGGTTTCCCTTATGATAAAAATCATTCCCAGTCCTGATTGGTTTGTTGGAGCCAGTGGCTTGAATTTGTGCTCTAAAGGCAAATGGCGCAAGAAGGCCATCATGAAACTATTCCCTGTTGATGCTGGTACCGACCAAGGCTTGACTTTCACTTCTCCCAATTGGCCATCCTATCCACCAAAGAAGATCACCCGAATTACTGCCTCTTTTCCACACCATGAAGCCAGCTCTTTTTATTATCCAAAACTGAAGAAATTACCACGCATCGGCTACGTCATTTTTCACAAAACCACCGAATCAAAAATAACTTTCAAGCGTCGAAAACCTTATAAGATCCACTTGGCTGGTGTCTCCGACCGATCCCTGTCTGTCGTAATGCACAAAGAAATGAAAATCTTAAACGGTTCTCACAAACCGACCACTCTTGTGCAATCAGATCAAAGACCTGGGGCCAAAAAACCTGAGTCGGCTTCAGTTATTTCCAACCAGGAACCACAACCGAATGCATCTGTAAAACTAGCAATTACTGACAACAACACAGGTAAGTATAAATTATATGAAAAAATTCAGTTAACCATTTGGAGGCATTATTTATAAATTTTGCGATTTTAAAGTTAACGCAAATTTAAATTAAATATACGAGCTCTTTATAGCAGACGTGTAAATTTTACCATTTTACAGTTAACGATAATTTAAATTCAATTTGAAAATTATTTAAACGACTTAATCGCTTTATACAAGATCTGTTTCTATTAGAATTATTATAATTTCCCCGAGTAGGTATGTGGCCTTGGGGGTTTTCTCCGAACATGGATTCTTCCGCACGCGTGGAAGTGTAATACTCTCTATCTTTTTCTGTTGAGTATGGTGCTTATAAAACTTTTGGTCATCTTGTTGTATCATGTGTGCAAGTCCTAAGCAACAGCTGCGTCGACTATATTGTGGGCAACCACTGACATACTGTGTGGTGCCCGTGTCTGCGCCTGCTGCCTAAAGCAACACCTTTCGGGTTACTCAACTAACGCACCTGACTCCTGTGACGCTTTGACGAATGCAAAGTCGATTTTTGCTATCATCTGGTGTGAGCCTAGTTTTAGAGTCGCCACATATCAACTTCGCCATATTGACATTAAATACAGTGCAGACAACTTATGGTTTCGTGCCCTGAATCACACATATCACTCAATGCCTGATTTTTTTTTTTTTTTTTTTTTTTTGGTGGGGGGGTTCATGGAAACAAATAAAACATAGTTGCTAAAGAAACGCAAAACAAATTGTAAACATAGCACGTTTTGATACATTTTTTACTAAATATAAACGCAATACAAGGCCCAAAAACCACTCAACTTAGAAGATTATTAAATGAGTTTGTTGTATAGACGTAAGAGGAGGAACTAAGTGCAGATTATTAGGATATGCAGTAAAGGTTCCGCTTAGGCTTGAAGAGACTAAGATTGTAATGATCGGGGAAACAACATTTCAGAAGTTTGTTCCATAAGGCAGCGAGTCTTCGGAAGAATGGAACTTCCTCCTTGCTAATGGAATACGAAAGGGAATTAGTATAGTTCCCTCATGTGTATATGGCATGCTGTGTGTCTTCGTGAGTCTGAGCTGATGGAACTAGGGAATGTATCTCATCAAAACATTTTCCATGGTAATCACCTGAAAGACTCCTTCCTGCCTCCCATCAGTATGGCTGATGCTAACCTCCATCTGGCTTCTCTGTCGCGGCTGATATGAAATGGAAATCTATTACTAGGCCTGCTGTTAAGAAAGTCGGGTCATTTTAACTTGCTAGACATTTTTTTTCTCTCCAGAATCTATCTTGCATATTTATAAGTCTACCATTTGTCTATGCTTTGAATATTTCTGCCACATCTGGTTCGGTGCTCCTGCTATGTATTTAGAGATCTTTGATAAAATCCAAAGAAGAATCACAATATTATTGGTCCCAACCTGGCATCTCGGTTTCTGTCAGTTTCCCACCGCCATAATGTAGCTTCCCTGTGCCTTTTCTATAAATACTTTCATGGTAATTGTTCAGATAAACTTTCCGTTATGATACCTAAACTTTATGGAATTAAGCTCACTGCTAGATTGGCGGCAAAGTTTCATCAATTCATCGTTGAATTGGCGAGATTTTTTTTTATTCGAACTTATGGAGTGAGAGTATCATGCAATAGATTCAATCCATATAATTCAGATTTCATTGGAAAAATTGAATGGGTACAAAGTGGGGGATCACTGTATATTTCTCCCCGGCTTTCCACTTTAGATTATTATTTCTCTTTATTAATTTAGCATTATGAACAGGTAAATCCCTCCTCTAAATCCTGGGAAAAATTTTTTTTATTCGAACTTATGGAGTGAGAGTATCATGCAATAGAATCGACCCATATAATTTTGATTTCATTGGAAAAATTGAGTTGGTACAAAGGTGGTATAAGTTCTATGTTAACACTTTCTTTTCTCACACTTCTCGCTTGTGACACTCTCTTCCGGCTTCTTGCTTTCCAGCCAACATTAATCTTCAAAAATTTTAATGCAATGTCAATCGCTATCTAGAGTCTTGATTAGTCTTCAGTTCTTCTCGCTCCCTCACTGCCTTGCTTGGAGCGATATAATTAAAGAAAAATAGCGATAAAATAGCGAGAGGCTTGCGTCGTTGCGTCTGTGGAGAAAGCTGTTGTAGAATGGAAAATAATTCATCAACTACACTAGATCTACAACCAGTGCCATTGAAATCCGATTCATCATTTAAATGAAATTCACCTAATCCCACTGCTTCCGTCTCATTATCTGAATCAAGTATCTCCCAAGGTGTTCAGAGAATTCTTAGATTTGTTCCAGGTTGATATAGTATCAGAATTCGATCATCCATCTATGGAAAAAAAATCACAAAATAAATCATTAATTCCAAAGCACGCTGTCGCTAGATGAAAGCCCCCATGGCAGTTTGACTGATTCAACAGTGCACACTCCTCTACGGCATTAAAAAAATGTAGTAACAGATGTAATAATCCTTAAGATGTCTGAATTACATGGATTTTATTATTATTTTTTGGCTGATTTTTCTTTCATCTGTATTGTTTGTTTTTGTTGGTTTTTCAGTGAGTTTCACCCTGTACAATGTTCGGGAGCCACTCGGGATAGAAGTTTACAGAGTAATAGGCAAAGTTTTTGTGTATATGTTGGGAAGACAACGATTAACCTAGATTTAAACAAATTAGGATTGTAGTGATCGGGAAAACATCCTATTGGAAATTGGTTCCATAGAGCAGTGGTTCTCGAGAAGAAGCTGCTTGAGTGGAACTTGCTTCTCACCAATGGAATAGGGAGGTTCGCTCCAATGGGCGTAGCACGACGTGTGCTAGCCGTGAAGGTTAGAACTGGTGGAACTAGAACTGAGTACTTTCCATGAAAGTTGCAATAGAGCAATGGGAAGAATGTTACATCTCATCTGTGAGAGAGGGGTTAAAGGGTGGAAAATAAGTTATCACCCACAATGATGCGGAGAGGCTTTTGAACTCTATCGAGACTGGAAATTAAGGACTTGGTGGCTCCTTCCCAAATATGACAGTAGTACTCCATTTTACGTCTGACCTGGCTCCTGTAAAGGTAGAGGATAGCACGAGGAATCAGGAACATGCTGGAGACGTACAGGAAACCGACCATTTTTCCTGCATCTTTAGCGATGGATCGTGTGTACGAGTTCCACTTGAGGACTAGTTTGAGTTTAAGGCCCAATAGTCGCTCAAGACACGGTGCCTCACTGAAGAAGCACCCATTCATCGCGACTGGTAAATAGTTCGGGTCCGATATAACTACTTTGATTTTCAAAGCATTAAATGTAATAAACCAGTTTCCTCCACCCCCCCACACACACACACTGAGATGTTTGAGCTAGATCAGATGAGAATTTTGGATGTGCACCCATATGCCGTTATAGAATCAGCCTAGATATTCACAAATGATCGGAGTATACTCTTAGGCTGATCATTTATGTAAAGTAGAAAGAAGGTCATACCGAAATCATGGGGGACGTCTGCGTTAATCGCTTGGCCTTTTGAGGAATGGCCGTTACAAACTACCTTCAGGGACCTAGTCGTTAGCAAGAACGAGGTAATTGAGAAGACACTTCCAGTGATTCCATGGCCAGAGAGATTTATGTCACATCCGGTGAAAGGCCTTTGAAATATCTAATGCGATCGTCCTTTAAATATGTCCGCTGCATCGTATTAAAGACATCGAGGCATTGAATATGAACAAATAAGTTTTTCCCCTACTGAACTGTTAAGAACTGTCAGCAGATTTGCTCATCTAGAGTATTCGAAGTGAACCCATATAACGTTGTAGAATCAGCCTAGATGTTCACAAATGATCGGAGTATTCTCTTAGGCTGATCATTTATGTAAAGTAAAAAGAGGATTGGTCCAGGAAGCGAACGCTAGGGTGCCGGAGGGCTGGCTGTTGACAACTACCTTCAGTTAAGAAGGACTTTATTATTGAGGAGACTCTTCCAGTGATTCCATAGCTAGAGAGCTTAAGAAGCAATTCTTTGTGCCACATCTTGTCAAAAGCATTTGGAATATCTAAAGCTATGGTTATTGAGTTCGGATCGTTATATTCTACGACCGTTAAAACAGTTCTTTTTTTTTTTTTTTTTTTTTTGGCTTCTAAAATTGATTAATAGATTTTCTGCTTATTTTTCTTTACGTATTTTTGCCTCTGGTTTTCTTTGATTTCACTCTGCCTTAATTTTAACTATTTATTCATTGACATATTTCAGGTACACCTCTGGATTGCCTCGTAAGCAACTGGGGTCATTGGAGTGAATGCTCAAAAACATGTGGTTTTGGAAGACGAGAGAGGCACCGTTTTGTGACCCAACAGAGGAAAAACCGTGGACTTATTTGTCCTAAGCTCAAAGAGGAAGAACTTTGCGGTAGCATGCGCAATTGTAAATGGAATCATTTTCACCCTTTCCGATGGCAAACGCTGCAAGGACCACGATTAGCTCTATCCAAACGGCACTGAGAGACAAAGAATCTCTCTTGGTTACGGACAGCCTTTTGGTGTTGTAAGTCGAGCAAGGAATGGACATTACAAAAACGTTTCCGATTAATTTGTCTCTCTATATACCATCTTCCTTTTGCGTGGAATCTGTCTGGAAAGTATGAAAAAAAGGAAGGAATGAAAGACGAAAGCAGGACAAAAAGAATAACTCTAGAAAGTTGATAATACATAGTGTATTGGACAATGTACAAAGTGAAGACAAAAAATGATGCAGAGAACAGGATGTTTGAATGGAGAAAAATGGTTTAAAAGTTATTTTCTTTCTGTCTTTTATATATATATATATATATATATATATATATATATATATATATATATATATATATATATATTTACTCTCTCTCTCTCTCTTTCTCTCTCTCTTATTTCTCTCTCTCCTTAGTTCTCTCTCTTTATCTCTCTCCTTATTTCTTTCTCTTTCTTTCTCTCCTTATTTCTATCTCTTTCTCTCTCTCTCTCCTTATTTCTTTCTCTTTCTCTCTCTCTCCTTATTTCTTTCTCTTTCTCTCTCTCCTTATTTCTCTCTCTCCTTATTTCTATCTCTTTCTCTCTCTCCCCTTATTTCTTTCTCTTTCTCTCTCTCCTTATTTCTCTCTCTCCTTAGTTCTCTCTCTTTCTCTCTCTCCTTATTTCTTTCTCTTTCTCTCTCCCCTTATTTCTCTCTCTTTCTCGCTCTCCTTATTTATTTCTCTCTTTCTCTTTTTGTCTCTCTCTTTCTCTTCTTACTTCTTTCTCTTTCTCTCTTTCTCTCTCTCCTTCTCTCTCTCTCTCTCTCTCTCTCTCTCTCTCTCTCTCTCTCTCTCGTTCATTTAAGCTTTCATTTTTCTCTTGTTCCCTGACTCGATTTTATTTATTAATCTCTTATATTTCTTTACGTTGTTTCTTCTTTATCGTCTCTACGTTTCCCACCCCCCATAATATTTGTCTTGTTTAACGTCTCACCCTTAATACAAACTTATCAACGCTTGATGCCGCATCTCGGTGTCTTAACCGCTTTATTTGATTTGAGCCCAGTGAAAATATCCAACTGAAAATATCACAACTGAAAATAACTGCGTGATTCTTATTAACCATTTTTTGATATTTTGTTAGCTTTCATTTTAACAATGTACCTATGAACAAAAAAAAAAGGTTGGCATATGACGTTTTCTTCTTCTAGGCACTAGCACGTAGGCGATCATGGCTCTCCACAACATCCTATCCTTTGTAGTTCTTAGCAATATTTGTCTTTCTAATATACCTCCCATTCCATGTTACGTAAGTTACTCGCTGCTTCATTCTGTCTATCTTGCCTTCAGTATGCCTTGCGGGTATCGAATTCTTGAAACCTTCTTTCCTCATTACGTGTCCAAGAAATTTTAAATGTCTCTTTCTGAGTGTCCTTTATCGTTTTCCTCGTTGCTTTCATTCTCAGCATCTTTCTGTAGAACCACATCGCCATTACCTCAGGTTTCTTCTTCATCTGTGAGGAGGATCTTCCCAAATCCTTTTTTCAATCCTGGATTAGTATAAGTACTGCGTGGTACCAAAGGTCTTTCAGACTCTTGTAGCTGTTTAGACTATTATAGATATATCACTTAAAATAATCGGTATCTTTGAGTCAATGTGCTTTTCCTAGACAAAAATCAGGGTGCCATCCAAGAAACCTGTCTGTCCTATTATTTACCCATAACTGGAGTGAGAACAGTTGTATCCATACCTTACCCATGGGTATTAATGAATGTAATGTAACTCGACTGGAATTCGAACTCGGCTCTCTGATTCCACATTCCGAGCTGCAATCCATTACACCACCGTGCCTCCTTAGTTCTTAATTCTTAATTTTTCTTGTTATATATTATTTTCGGTGTTCTCAGAAGCTGTATTCTTTCTGGTTTTATAAGATAAATAAAAAATGATAGAAAAAAAAGAGGTTTATTTTGAAACAGCAAATTAAAGGGTCAATATTGTTAAAAAAAATTAAAGTTGTAAATTTCGAAAAATTCAAATTTCAAAAATAATTTTCATTTTATCTCCAGTAATCAAATAAAACTGTTTGGAACTCATATATTATGACTAAAACCATAAAAATCCGGCTGCTACTTAATTAATCATGAAAATTTGAATTGCCACGAGCTAAATACTAAGCATCGTTCTGGGTATGACAATAAACTATATTCAGCAGCAAGGCCGCTGATCGGGTGGTTTTGAGGAGCGTGAAATCACCTCTTATTTGCTGTTGTTCCCAAATATACCCTGACCCGGGGTGGTAGCGCCTGTTAGGGTCCCAATTATGAACAAATTGTGAACTCCCAAACTGGTGTCAAAATACCATGAAAGTATAAAAATACTTTTTTATAGTAAAAATTCCCAGTAATAGATTTTAATAGTAAAAGAAAAATTCTAGCAATGAATTTTAATTAAAAAAAATACCAGTAATAGACTTTAATAGTAAAAAAAAAAATACAAAAGCTCCCAAGAAAATTAAATTTCGGCATTAAATGACCCATAAAGTGTTGATATGCCGCTAAACAAAACAAAACTAAATACTAAGGAAAATATTTAGTATTTGAATAACCTAATGTACTAACATAAAAGCTAAAGGCAAAGAATGTATGAGAAAAGACTTATCGTTCGAAACTTTTCTGACCTTTTAGTTGTGATAGCTTTTAATGTTTGTTTTTGTTTTGTTTGTTTTTTCTCTCTCTACTTTTTATTTCTTTTATTAAGTTTAGAATAAATAACGAATAAAGATTTTTTTCTCTAAAATCATCCGAATAAATTGCTAAAAATATATGTTTATGCGTTTTTCTTCCAAGGGGCTACACGGATCTTTAGCAAAGAAAGAGCTGAGTCATATTTCATAAAAAAAAAATAAAAAAATCACAATGGCCTCTGAAGATATACAATTGTTCATTTGAGATGGGCGTTCTCTCTTCAAATGCTAAAACCGAAAATCATACACACATATATTTTTACTAATAATTAATGCTATATTTAGTGGGTACACACGTGTCTGGGTAGGTATACCAGTTGTTTTTTAAAGAGTAAAAATTACATCAACTGGCCTATAGATTGATAGTCTTTTTAAAGAAAATGTGTCGCCCGACAGGAATCAAAACTGTATTCCCTTTTAAAAGTAGGAAAACATTTTCGAATCAAACGTGCTTTACCATTAAGCCTCGCAAATTCATCAAGAAAAAGGAAGATTCAACTTAGCCTATTTAAGAAATACACATCTTATTAAAGAAACGGTGCGCTGGAGGCGGCGGGGGGCATCTTTTTTTTTAATAAGATCTTTCAAATATTCAGGCCGGCAGACGAAAATAAATAAATATATTGCTTAAAAATACACGGAACGTCTATTCAAATATGGCTATCCACAAAAATAACGTTTAAAGTGAATCTCTCTCTCTCTCTCTCTCTCCTCTCTCTCTCTCTCCCTCTGTGTGTGTATATATATATATATATATATATATATATATATATATATATATATATATATATATATATATATATATATATATATATATAAATAAATCCAAAGAAAAGCGATACCTATGGTTTAACATCCCCAAACTTTCTTGGAGCTTTTGTTTTAGTTTTAATTTCAAGTTAATAGATTAAATTTAATATTTCTAATAAACAAAATACGTAGCTAGCTGTATTTCAAAATGAATTTAAATTGATTGGAATGATTTTTTAAATCGCTAAAAAATGGCTGTTTTTAGTCATATTTAGAAATTTCTCAGCCATCACGTAATTCTCTTTAAAAAATAAAATATACTTTTCCTAATCTTTATTTGAAGATTAGTTGATTTAAAGTTTAATTAATGTGATTTGAAACAAATATTACTTACTTTTTGTAGCGATATGTAAGTGGCTGTCTACTTAGGCACAGCTAAGGCATAGAAACTATTTAAGTTGTTTTGTTTGCCATTGAATGTGACACAAGGTCGAAGTTTAAAGTGGAAATAGAAAATATCATGGAAAAACTACTCTCGTCCACTCAGCACTTCTCCTTTAGGGACACCTGATGCGCCAGGTGATGACGTCAACCCACTCCCGAAGAAGAAGTACTGCCTGGGGGTGGGGGCAGGACTTCCTAGAACTTGAGCTAATATTAATATCAAGCTACCGCAGTTGGTATCATAAAGGACTATATTAATGCCCAAGCAGTAAGGAAAAGGGCAGAATATTCGCGAGGTTAATGATTACCACTGAACTGAGAAAACAAAATATTGCAGAAAGGCATTTTTTACCTCAGAGTTGGTGAGGTATGAGGTGTTGACAATTATCTCGATAAACTTGTGTTTGGATTTTTTTTTCTACGGGGACATATCTGTCAAAATTACTAACAAATATAAAGTGAGTGTCTTTATATATATATATATATATATATATATATATATATATATATATATATATAACGACCTAGTAACGTTAAAATTTAGGAAAATATTCCAAGTACTCTAATATTTTATTGAATTTTTAGTTCTTTGGTTTTAAATTTACTCTAGTTACCGCTCATATTTTCTGATAATTGTTGTGTATAGAGATTCGTATTTACAAAAATCGGCACGTTTATACACACACAAATCAAATGCAAAATTCTTTTTAAAATACTGGGGTTGGTGAATTGTAGTAAGCTTTTTCATTTATGGTTGGTAAATATAATTTTACTTAAAAACAATATCACCTAACCACTACAAAATAATACAGAATTTTAAAAGATTTTAAATTTTATAAATTATTCTAATTTAATTTTTTTAAAAAATGAAAACAATTCTTGTAAAAACTCATTATTCATCGAAAAAATATTTTCATGAGAAATTAAAAGTTTTTCTAAATAAATAAAGTCTGAGTTTTATTACATTTTTATTTTACGATTCAGACCAGATTTTTGGTAACTGTGCATCCTGTTTTACCGAAACAAATTGATGATTCAAATTCTCCAAAGACTTATGCTTATAACTAATAAAAAGATTAAGTCCTATACAAATTAATTTCCCTAAATCATAAAATTAAATAACTGGGGTTTAGCAGATGTAAAAAAAAAATGAAATTACGACGATCTTCTTAAAAAGAAACGTTTCTAAAATAATTTCATTCATTTATCCTGCGAGTTTCATTAAAATCCATTTGATTTTTGCAAGAATTTGCAAATCACTGTGTTTTTCACCTTAAAAAAAAACACTAAAATTTCCTATACTAATCTATGGTAACCCTGCTGACACAAGAAAAACTTTAACAATAATGTTGAAGGTTCTAAAATGGATTAAAAATATAATTTAATAATCAAATAATCATTTTGTCTTTCCTCTTAATAACATGAATTTGACAATAAAACTTTGTTTTTATGAAGTTTGAGGCATTTATGAAGTTTGTATGCTCATTTTTACACCCATATAGCAGTGGTTAGCGGCTTGGATTGAGGAATCGCAGAGCCGAGTTCGAATTCCAGTCGAATCCACTGCATTCACTTACGTGCTAATACCCTTGGGAAAGGTATGTATCCTCTTCATCTCCCTCCAGCTATGGGTAAAATAGCAGGACAGACTGGGTTCTATAGCCTTGGATGGCAACTGGTTTTAGGAGAAGGACAACTCTGAATTCAAAACCTGCGGAGGGTCGTTTGGGAACCTTGTGGCATGCATTCAGTGCACCAGGTTTCTGTATTCGTCCCCCAAAAAGTGTGGCTGGTCCTGCACAAGGCCTTCACCACTATAAACAAATCTCATGTGCCGGTGTCAGGACGTCGGTTTCCTGGGGACTTATCGGCCTGACCCTCATACGTCGAACGCGACGGGAGAGTCGATATATATATATATATA